GTCTCTCTTCCCTAGGACCTTCACTCCTTGATGAGAGTTGATTAATGAATTCAAGATTCATGGACAATGGTTCATGATGGCTGGTTGCCACAATGCCTTTAAGCCTGCTAGGACACTTCAACACTTCAAAGGCCAAGGGGTTTACAGAAATGACTCCCAATCGGCATAAATCAAAATAATGTCATAATTACATAACTCATTGCACAAAGTGCAACAAGAAGAAGAAAGAGAATCCAACTAGTAACTCATCCAAATTAGAGATGGAAACCTGAAGGGCTCATTTAAGTCCTAAAGCTCATTCGAATTAGTCTAGGAATTCCTAAAGGTTCGAACCATAGCCTCCAAAAAGAACCCATGCTAGCCTTTATGATTTATCTAAAGAACTTGAGCTTTGTATTAAAAAAAAAAAGACCATAGCAAACAGCTGACAAACGCCACCTCGCAACAGAGAAGGAAAGCCCACCGAATACCAAACGAATTGAAAAGGAGATTGCATCACTTAGCGCAGAGTCAAATAGAATACAGCTCAAAACATTAAAAATCAAACCCAGATGAATAATTTGCAACAAAAACATAACGAGAGGTTAACAAGCTAACATAACAAGCAACACTACTAGCGATCGAAAACATAATTCTTCACAGAAAACAAAAATCTACCTCCTCAAAGGGACGACAAATCGAGACTCGACATCAAACCGAGCGAGATGAGAGCAAATAGAGCGGGAAGGGAGCTGCACCAAGTTCACCCGCCTATTGGGAGTACCTGGGTCTTTTAGACTTAACAACGGCCGCCGCTGCGTCAAATTTGAAACAGGAGAAGAAGAGCATGCAACGGCCATTACAGGCACAAATCCAAAAAGAAAAACTGCAAGGAACAAAGCTTGCAGAGAGCAGATAATCTAAACACAACAGTTCTAGAGCGAGCAAGGAAAGTGAGACGAGGAAGAGTATTGGGATAGAGTTGACGGTTCGGTTGAACCGGGAAAAAAAAACCAGATTGAACCGATTTTCTAGAACAAAAAGGGGCACCACATTTGCAATTTTCCGTGTGTTTTCCTCTTTACTTGCGAGATTTTAAATTTTTGTTTGTTATTTTTTAAATTAAATTTTATTTTCATTTATTACAAAAATAGCCTCCAAACAAATAACTATTAATGTTTCATTCAACTTTTTGTCGGGCTAGGTTCAACCCCGCAGCCTATTCATTTCTACTCGTGCCAAATTTTTTATTTATTTTCATGTGATTGGACCGACTATTCCTCACTAAAAAATTGTGGTGACCGAGTTCTCGAAAAAAAAATGTTACTCCTCTCTCATTCCCTGTCCGAGAATTTCCTTCATTGTTTAAGCTTGCTTAAATTGTTAAAACATATATCATCAACTGATACCACTTGTAACAATCGCACTTTGATGGCAGCGGACTTGTGATTGTGTGGCACTCACCTCTCAGCAAGAAGTGAGTTAAGCCTATTCGTTCTTGTGTCGCCTACGGCCAAGCGACGTATGCTCGAACCTTTGGCCCCAGTTCAAGAAGAAAGTTTTAGAAAATTAGGGCAGAGAGTTTTGAAAGCATGAGTTGAGAAATTAAAATTGATGTTATATGTGTTATATAATTGTCCGGTAGAGAGAAGTTGACAACAGGTTTTAAATTTAATCTCCGATTAAATTCAAGAACACATCAAAATAGACTATATAATATTCTCGCATTTGTTAATTCAATAATTGGAGGGTAAGGTAGAGAATCGAATCATCGATATTTGGAATGATAATCGGTACTTTTATATACTAATTAAACTATGCTCGAATCAAAACGCTGTTACATGCATGTAAAGACATTTCAAATAATTCAAAGCGGAAATTAGTTTGAAAACCGAGAGTCCAAAACGAAACATTTCAAACATTTTACTTTGAAATTCAAGCAGAAATCCTTTTTCGCTTTATGACTCTACATCAAATGTTTTCATGTATCATCTCTATTGGAACCTAAGTTCATGACTATTACATACACTCTACTTTAATTTTTCGGGTAAGGTTGGATGTATAATATTTCTCAATATATGGTCTACACACATGCACGTGACCCAATAGGCAAACTCGTTACCGTAACCTCTAGGTTTGACTATAGGTTAGCAAACACGCTCATATTGCAGAACATCCGATGAAAAAGAAAGGAATGTAAATACTATCGTGATTGTATGCGTTCGTATATTACATACTAGAGAAATATAAAATCATAGTTCAATGAGATGATGCACATACTTCCGTAAATAACATGACTTCAGTTCCTTACGAGACATACTGATAAGATAAGGGAATCAACTGCAAGGGGAGTAAGATTCGGATTACCTTGTTGATCGAATATCTCAAGCCAAGAACACTTTGTTTGAGATTCGAATCACTCCAGAAGCAAGATCGATCATGTCTAGCTTCAATGATTCTTGTTGATCAAATATCTCAAGACAAGAACACTTGATTGAGATTCGAATCACTCCACAAGCAAGATTGATCATGTCGAGCTTGAATGATTCTACATACAACCTAAACTACGTAGAATTGCAAAGAAACTTAGCCATTGGCTAAAGAAAAGCACAAATGCTTTTTTTAATATATTTTTCAAGTCTGTTTACAAATACAATATACATGACTTTATATAGTCTCAAAATGAAACTACTAAAACAAGAGTGGTAACATTCATACTTAATGGCCATAATTAACCATTATGTAATTGTAACCTAAACTAAATTAAAAGGCTTAAAATACAATAACTCTAAATTGTAACCCACCCAAAATTTATAACCATCAAACTTCATTCCTCTTCAATGTGGCATGAATTGCAACCTCTTTTGATAATTTTGACAACATTTTCTTCAGATCTAATTGAAGTATATTGTATGATTGATGTCTCTTGGTTCATATCACGTACATATATATCCATGCGGGATATAGTCATATTAAAGCATGTATGAAGACACATACACCTTATAAATCGTAGAACTATCCTAACAAAACAATTTAATACGTGTAAATAACAATTTTATCCAACTTAGTTCGTAGGCGTTCCAATAATAAGTTCATTTACAATAAAAACTTAAGTCCAAATAGGTAAAGCGTTCGTGACGTCGTGTTTGGATGTTGTGTTTAGGACTATCCTAAACTTTATATTTGGCCTGTACACATCATCGTTACTATGGTTGGCCAGAAATCAATATTTGATACACCTCATATAATATTTAATAGATAAATTAATTTTATTTAATTTAAATATTTAAAAGTTTCTCATTTAAATTTAAATTTAAAATATATAATTCTAAGTTTAATAAATCACTGACATGTAAATTTAAACAAATTTAAAATTTTAAAAAATATTAAAAAGTTCGAGGATTTTATAAGATACAAAATTAAAAAATTAAAAATTTATTAAATTTATCAGATACAAAATTAAAAATTTAAAGATTAATTTCTGAATCCAAAATTTAAATTAAAAAAAATAGATTTTAATTTATCTTATATTTGTTCTCTCTCTTTGTCTTCCTCGAAAAATACTTTTTTTTTTAAATTATAATATTTGGGGTTTTTTTTTCAGATTAAACAAAAAAAACTTAAACAATTGGAAAATTGTTGGGTCACGTCAAGAACATGGAATTAAATATTATATAATTGTTTTTATTTTATTTTATAATTTTGAAATTTGTTGGATTTTTTTTAATTAAATTGCATCAATTAGGCATAACTGTATACAGGTTGGAAATTAAAAAAATATAAAGTCAGCAAACAATTTCAAACCCATCAAAGTTTCTAAAATATTTTCCACATCTCTAACATCGTGTTGAAATTATTTGAAAAAAATATAATTTATAATATAAAAATGTCTGATTTTCTAATTTTATTATAAGTAGAATAATACATATAAATCTCATTAATTTCTAATAGTATAATTTATATGTTCAATTTCTTAATTTCTAATAATAATAAATAAATAAATAAAAGAATTTTATAATATGAATCGTTTAATTTATTATTATTATTATTTTATAATATGGTTTTGACTTTCCTTCTTTTTTTTATTTTATTAATAATTTGTTAGAATAATATTTAGTTTATTGGGCAGACGGCATGACATTATATTATCTTTTTTTTTATTATTATTATAACAGAACTTAACATAATAATAACAATAAATAAATAAAATAATTTAAAAATATGACGTGGAAATCCGGAATACATGATACAGCTTTATATAATGTGAAAAAGAATAAAATTGGTATCCGCGGAAAATCCGCTACGGCCGGTTCCACTGTACCGGTTTTTTGAGTATCGTATTTCTTCCACATCTAAATTTTAAATTCATAAATTTAATAACGAAAATTTTTAATTATACATATAATTTTTAAACAATTAACCTCTTAAATTTATAGAAGTCTACAAAAAATATTATTTAATAATTTAAAATTAATTACTTTATTTAACTCTTTATGTGTATACACTATTCTAAAAATAAAAAAGATTTATAATTCACAATAGTCAATTATTTAATTAATAATTTACATTCTATAAATATAAAAAAATAAAGGAAAATTAATAGAAATATTGTTTCTAATAGTAAACAATTTGTTTTATTCTTATTTATAATATATATTTTTATTAAGAGAATAATTATTAATTGAAAATATTTATAAATGAATGAAAATTAAATTAAAATTATTTTAATAATTTGACTTAATAAAAATAAATTAACCAATAACAAGTTAGTAAATCCAATAAAATTGTTAGAAATAATTAAATAACTAAAAATATTTATTTATTTATATAAAATTTTGATAATATTTCTATATCTTAATTTATTTTATTTTGAATAAATTCAATTAATTAATGGATCTTAGTTTATAAAATTATTATACAAGGGCAATTTGGACTTTTCAGTCCTTTACATTGACAGTTTCAAACGGCCATTATAAATACAAACGAATCCATTTTCCACACGTTGACTTGACAAATCTCATTCCATCTTCTCCCATGAGACAGAGAAATTAAATTACTTGAAAACCAAATGCAGGGCGGAAACCACTGGGGAGGGCCGCTGGAAGTGATCGACAACGACCACAACAACGGCGACAGAGGCGAGGATTGGGATCGGGATCGGGCGGCTCTGCAATCGCAATCGTTCAATCAGAATGAACTGGACGAGACGCAGAGGAGCTGGCTTCTTGGTCCAGCAGAGGGGAAGAAGAAAAAATACGTTGACTTAGGTTGCGTAATCGTGTCGAAGAAGGCTTTGAAATGGAGCTTGTTTTCGATTTTGATTGTGTTTTGTGTAATCGGATTGCCGATTATTGTGGCCAAGACTCGGCCGAAGCATCACGCTCGTCCTCTTCCGCCCGATCGATACTCTGATGCTCTTCATAAGGCTCTCTTGTTCTTTAATGCTCAGAAATGTAAGTCTCCTCTCAAGAACTCTCACTTTTTTTCTTTTTCTTTTCTTTTTTAAATAAAAAAAAAAGTTCTTTTGCAATTTTATTCCATTTTATAATTGATTTAAAGCATATGAGAATATAATTTTTTTAATTCTCAAATAAAAATAAATATGTGGGTAAAAATTTATTATTCTTAATTTTATGTTTAATACATCACTTATCTATTAGAAAAGAAAAAAAAAATAATAAGTATACAAATTTAAATAAATATTAAAAAATCTTGAAATCTCATAATTAAATTTATTTTTTTAAACTTTAACCTAACTAGACAATTTTCAAAATTCATCAATTCAATTTCTTACTTAAGTTTGTTTTTTAATTTATAATATTTGAATTTAATATATATATATATTAAATAATATTCAAACCTTTCACATTTTGTATGAAAATTATCGACAATCTAAATTAAACTATGCTTAAACTTTAAATATTCGCACTAGCTCACATCATAATTTGACTTCGGTAAAAGAAGACTTTTAATTTTTTTTTTCTTTTTTTTGAAATTTATTTTTTCATCTATTGAAATGTATTCAATTCTAAAATTTAATTTTTATCATGGAATTGATTATTATTGTTGAGAATGTTTGCTTAAGCCACCCCACCTAAATGATATGAAAGTTATCTTATTTATAATCAAATAAATTACAACGATATGGAAAGAATAATAAATAGAAATAACAATAAATGAAAAGAAACCTATAGTAAGAAGTAAATATCTAGATATTTGTGTTATAATAAAATATCAAATATGATATATATGGTAAACTATAATTTAGTATTAAATATCCTAGACAACTATATTTTTAAAATTAAATAGAAGAATGTTCAAACCTAACCCTAAAAAAAAGTAACTCAAAGAAAATGCTTCAAACTAAGCACGGATTATTGGTTAAAGTGAACATGACTCAGGTCGAGTTTGATATTCAAATTTTCATATTTTTATTTTTAAAATATTAATTAATTAATTAATTATATATATATATATATAGTTGAGAGTATATATGTTAAGGAATTGAGTAATTTTGGAGTTTTTTCTTATTTTAATTATTTTAATTATTTTGAATGAAGTCACGCGTGACGAATGAGCTTGCAAATGCAATGCACGAACGTCCACGTGGATTTTATGAGGGTATTTATTAGGAATTAAAAAGTGGGGGAAATTTATATCCAAATATGCCCATTTTAATTTTTTTTTAAAATAAAAAAATATTAAAATAATTTATTTAACCTTAATTTTGTGATTTGATTAAAATCATTTATTATAAAATTATTTATTGAAATTAGAAATTAAATAGAAATATGGTTTGATTGGATGCAGCTGGGAAATTGGGAAAGAGCAACAACATAACATGGAGAGGGAGCTCAGGGCTGAACGACGGGAATGACACGCTGGCAAAGGGAGGCCTAGTTGGAGGGTACTACGACTCCGGGGAAAACAGCAAGTCCAATTTTCCAATGGCTTATTCAATGACGATGCTGAGCTGGAGCCTGGTGGAGTACAGTCACAAGTACAAGGCCATCAACGAATACGACCACGTCAGAGACCTCATCAAATGGGGTACCGATTATCTGCTCCTCACCTTCAACTCCTCCTCCACCAAAATCACCCAAATTTACTCCCAGGTTTTTCCTTATTTATTTATTTATTTAATTAAAAAAAAAAAGAGAATAAAATAAATAAATAAAATGTTAAAGGTTGGGGGATCGCAAAATGGGTCCCAAATCCCGGACGACTCCACCTGCTGGCAGAAGCCGGAGCAAATGGGCTACAACCGACCCACCCAAACCACATTCCAAGGCCCAGATCTCGCCGGCGAGATGTCCGCCGCTCTCTCCGCCGCCTCTATCGTCTTCCGCGACGATGCCGCCTACTCCGCCAAGCTAATCAAAGGCGCAGAGACGCTGTTCGCATTCGCTCGTGATTCCGGCCGCCGTGCACGCTACAGCCGCGACAACGCCTTCCTAGCTGCTGCTTACAACTCCACCGGCTACTACGATGAGTACATGTGGGCGGGGGCGTGGCTGTTCTACGCGACGGGGAACACGTCGTACATTAATCTGGCGACTCTGCAGGGAATCCCGAGGAACGCAAAGGCATTCAACGTGACGGCGGAGACAAGCGTGCCGAGCTGGAACAACAAGCTGCCGGCGGCGATGGTGTTGTTGACGAGAGTGAGGATGATGCTGAATCCAGGGTATCCGTACGAGGAGATGCTGAGTACGTACCAGACATTGACTGCCCTAAATATGTGTTCTTATCTCAAACAATTTCGCGTCTACAATTGGACTCGAGGTATTTTTCTCTCTCTCCTGTTCTTGATAAACATGTTGAGTGTCCGCATTGCTGTCTCCTAATCTTGATGTTCATTTTGATTGAGTGGGCTCGTTGTTGTCTCCTATTCTTGATGTTCATTTTGATTGAGTGTGCGAGCCGTTGTCTCCTATTCTTGATGTTCATTTTGATCGAGTATGTATATTGTTGTGCGATCCTAACAAATTGAAATAGGAAACAGGGATATGGATGAAAAGATTTACTAAGTTTAGAGCATGACTCTGATACCATGTTAGATAAACACGACTCTACACAATGGTATGATATTATCCACTTTGAGCATAAGCTCTCGTAGCTTTGTTTTGGGTTTTCACAAAAGGCTTTATACCAATAGAGAGAGTATTGTTTGATTATAAACGGATGATCGTTCCTTATAATTAAAATTTTCAGGAGGAATGATGATTATGAACAAAGGACAGCAACAGGGACAGAATCTACAATATGTGGCGAATGCTGCATTTCTGGCTTCTCTGTTCGCTGATTACTTGAACTCCACCGGCGTCCCAGGCTTCAACTGCGGCCCCAACTACATTCCTTCAGCCCTTCTTCGCACCTTCGCCACTTCCCAGATGGATTACATTCTTGGGAAGAACCCCATGAACATGAGCTACATTGTGGGCTATGGCACCAAGTTCCCTAGACGAGTGCATCACCGTGGTGCATCCATTCCCAGCGACAACAAGTACTATTCCTGCAAGGGCGGGTTCAAGTGGCGCGACAACCCCGGTCCCAACCCCCACACCATCGTCGGTGCCATGGTTGGCGGTCCAGATCGATTCGACAAGTTTCACGACGTGCGTACTAATCCCAACTACACTGAGCCAACTCTGGCTGGTAATGCTGGCCTTGTTGCTGCTCTTGCTTCCCTTACTACCTCTGCTGGCTTTGGCATTGACAAGAACACCATCTTTTCTGGGATCCCGCCGCTCGGTCCCAAGGCGCCACCGCCACCACTGCCGTGGAAGCCGTGATGGGGGTCGGTTGCTAGTGAGGACTTGGCCATGAAAATCATCCCCTTTCTCTCATCTTTCTTTTTTGCTCCAAGGGGTAATGTTTATTCTTTGTATCAGTTATATGACTCTCCACTTCTTACACATACATATATGTTCATTTTACAAGTTCTCTACACAAGAAATGATTAAAAAAAAGAAAAGATGATAGTATAGACTCCAAAACATGTCGGCCCAGTTGCGCCTCGACCCTGTTTGTACACCCGCGCCTTGACTCGAGTGACAAACTGCCTCATTCTAGCGTTGGCTCGTCTTGGCAGCACAATCGGCTCAGCTCGATAGCTCAATTTCAGCTCAACTCGGTTTGGTGGCTTGTAAGCTGTAAATGACTCAGTATACAAAATTTATACGGTTTCCTAAGTTTTCGACTCTCATTAACCCATTTTTTATTTTATTAAGGAAAATTTATGTCCTAAGTATGTGATATAGATTAACATAGGTGCAATTAATCGTTGAAGTATAATTTCAAAGCAGGAATTAGTAACTTCGATCAAGACCAAACAAATGAGTGATTTTACTATTGGAGTTAAATAATTGAATGATGTATGATAGTACATGTCTTGCCGCCCTTACATGCACCATATTATTTTATGTTATGTTTATGTGCTCTATGTACTGACATATGATGCTATGCTATGTATTGACATATGATATCCATCACGCTATGTTATGAATTGTATATCATGTTGTGTGTTGCCATGTAAAGTTATGGGATGATTGCCATGTATACATAATGCATATATGTAATATGTCATTGATGAAAGGAGAAAGGGAACGATGTTAACACTATGCTATTAATGTAAATCATGGGGATCTCATGCATGTATGTATGTCATGTGCATCAGGATACTTCCCTGTTATGTTATGTTAGTACGGACGCGTATCTTCGACATTTATATTCGTCATGCTATCATGCGGTCTTTTCCTTTTTTGTGGCGTATGGTGACGTGTAACGCGTTGTGCCCAACCAAGAAAGGCCCAAGAGATACACATATGAGCTTGCATGGTGGGTCTGCGTGTACGTGTGCGGACCATTTGTGGAAAAATACCACACATCCAATCCTACTCGGAACTTGAAAGAGTCCAAGGCCATGTTACAGTGTTAAAGGATAGGTTTCAATCATGATGTGTGTGATTGCATTACCAACTATTGAGTGTTGAAGACCACGAATTCTGGGAGACAAACTCAACCAAGTGCTAGGGACCACGAACTCTGCGAAACGAGACTCAACCGAATGTTGAAGACGACATCGATGAAATCGAAGTAGTTGACTACCAAGTGCTAAAGACGAGAGTCGAGACTCAACCCAAGAACCAACTTGCCACCCTACTCAAGAACTGACCGACTACTGAACTTGAGAACTGAGCGTTGTGTTGACTAGAGTATCGATGGTGTGTTGAAGATGAAGTACCAACGACGAGAAACGAGAAACTTGAACCCGAGAACTAAGTGAACTGAGCATTGTGCTGACTGAAGTATCGACGACATGCTGAAGACAAAGTACCGATGAAAAAAAATGAGAAACTTGAACCTGAGAATGGAGAAGGTGATGCTGCAATGTCGAACGTGTGAATGGAGATGGCGTCGGGTCATCGGTGAGCTGTAAAGAACCTTAGATCAAACACGAATGTTACACGAAGATGAAGAAAAAAATTGAAAGTGAGAAGAAAAGAAAAATGTGTCACATGAATCATGATGGTTGGCGGTGGCTGTGATTTGAAATTCCATAGGAGATGACAGAGTGTACACGTGCACAGTGTCATAATCGCACTCTTGATGGCAGCGGACTTGCGATTGTGCGGCACTCACTTTCCAACGACAAGTGAGCTAAGCCAATTCGTTCTTACGTCGCCTACGGCCAAGCGACGTATGCTCGAGCCTTTGGCCTCGATTTTAGAAAACAAGGGTAGAGAGAGATTTTCGAAAGAGGGATTTTGAAAGAGACGTTATATATGCAAGTAAGAGAGTAACAACAACGACTCACAGTATATAACTATTGGTAGGGAGAAGTTGACAACTAGTCATATCCCCTATAATACATTCTGAGGCATTTCATGTCTGGCAGACCTAGACATGATTTTTTCGAAACGTCATACTTCCTAGAAATATAAAAGTAAAACACTAGAACATGGAAAGACATAAAGGGTTTGGGCTTGTCATGGGCAATACGCCTTGGACGAGCATGACCGTGACATCCTCCCCCACCTAATTGGTTGACGTCTCTGTCAACCGACTACTTTCAAACTTGGCGATGTGGGTGGCGGCAGAGTCCAGATCTTCAGCGCGTTCCCAGCTGGTTTCTTTCGTAAGGAGATTCTTCTATTTGACAAGAAATTCACGAATCTTCCGTACAGGTCTTCCTATCTTCCTAACCCTGTCGGCTAGTATTTGCTCTATTTCTTTGGTGTCTCTTTGTTTTAGATCGATGCTCGGTCTAGTGATTACATTTCGTTGGTCGTCGTCTGGGTCAGGGTGATAGGGCTTCAAGTTGCTCACATGAACTACTGGGTGGATTTTCATTCATGTGGGTAGCGCAACTTTGTAGGAAGTAGCCCCGATCATTTTAAGGACTTCAATTGGGCCTTCATATTTTTAAATTAGTCTCTGGTTCTTTTGTCTACGGAATCTAATCTGTTATGGTCTCAACTTGATGAGGACTTGGTCTCTTGCTCGAAATTGGAGGGGGCGACGCCTCTTGTCCGCCCACTTTTTCATATGCTTGGAAGCTTTCTCCGAATATGTCTAGGCTATATCTGTTGTCTGCTCCCATTCTCTGGTGAAGTTTTGAGCTTGAGGGTTTTTTCCTGCATAAGGATGATCAATAATATGGGGCAAGACCGGCTGTTATCCACTTACAATTTCGAAGGGGTTCTTTCCCGTAGACGAACTCATTTGACAATTGAAACAGAATTGGGCGACATCTGGCAGTTGTATCCAGTTCTTCTGGTGAGCGTCGACGAAGTGACGTAAGTATTCTTCGAGCAAGCAGTTGAACCGTTCCGTCTGTCCATCGGTTTGAGGATGATAGCTTGAGGAGATGTTTAAAGTCGTTCCTAAGAAGGCGAATAACTCGGTCCAAAATGTGTCAATGAATCTACCATCCCTTCGCTGATGATGCTCGATGGAATGCCCCACAACTTTACAAATGTGTTTGAAAAATAGTTGGGTTGTTAGTTCAACCGAGCATAATTTGGGGGTGGGAACGAACGTCGCAAATTTCAAGAATCGGTCTACAATAACCAAGATGACGTCATATTCCCCGACTTTTGGGAGGTGTGTTATGAAGTCTAGAGACACACTTTTCCAAGGCCTTGTTGGTACGGGTAGAAGTTCCAAGAGTCCCGAGACTTTGGCTTTCTCGACTTTGTCCTGTTGGCAGATGAGGCACGTCTTGGTGTACTGCATGATGTCGTCCCGCATATTTGACCAGAAGTACCCCTTTTTTTATGAAGGCATATGTTCGTTGCCACCCAGGGTGTCCGGCCCATAAAATATCATGACATTCCTGAATGAGCTTCTTCCTCAGTTCTCCTGTTCTTGGAATGTATAATATGTTTCCCTTTGTCATTAGAAGGTCTCCCTCAACCCAAAATTGTCGTGTCTTCCTAGCTTTGGCTAGTTCACGACGGCTTTGGCCGATGGGTCTTTATGTAAATGTTCTTTGATGATGTCGCGCATCGATCCATCGATCTTACTTGAGTGAATATGTGCTAACATGCACAGGGCCGCATGTTCGCCCTTCCGACTCAGCGCGTCGGCTACTTGGTTACTCTTTCCTGCCTTGTGTTCAAATTTGAAGTCAAATTCAACCAACGACTCCTACCACCGGGCTTGTTTTGCCGTCAATTTCGGTTGATCGAAGAAGTGGCAAATGGCGTTGTTGTCCGTCTTCACTACGAATTGTGATCCCAAGAGGTACTGTCTCCATACTCGTAGGCAATGGACCACAACCAACATTTCTTTTTCGGAGATAGTGTACCTTCTTTCAGCATCGTTGAGCTTTCGACTTTCATAAGTGATGGGGTGGCCTTCTTGAATAAGGACACCGCCTAGGGCAAAGTCGGAAGCATCTGTCTCTATTTCAAATAGTTTAGTAACATCTACTAATCCGAGGATAGGACCCCTCGTCAAGGTTGTCTTCAAATCTTCCAAGGTCATTTGACATTCATTTGACCACGGCGAAGGGTGGTCTTTCTTCAGGAGTTCTGTTAATGGGGCGGCTCGTCATGAAAACCCTTCGACGAACCGCCTATAGTAGTTTGTCAATCCTAGGAAGGATTGCACATCGGATACGGAAGTAGGGATTTTCCACTCTTGGATAGCTTTTATCTTATCGCTATCCATGCCGATCTGTCCACAACTGATGACATGTCCAAGGAAGTTGATACATGTTTGTGCGAATACACATTTTTCTTTCTTGAGGTACAATTGATTCTGCTGCAACTTGTCAAACACTAGCTTCAGGTGCACCTTGTGTTCCTCTAGGGTTGTGTTGTATACAACTATGTCGTTGAGGTATACTACGACGAACTGATCCAAGTATTCGTGGAAAACCTAGTTCATTAACGTGCAAAACGTAGCTGGAGCGTTTGTCAAGCCAGAGGGCATTACCAGGAACTCAAAGGCCCCATATCTTGTTACACACGTCGTCTTGGGCTCGTCCCCTTCGGCGATATGTACTTGGTAGTACCCTGATCGTAAGTCCAGCTTCGTGAAGTATTTGGCCCCATGAAGCTAGTCAAACAAGTCGGATATTATTGGCAGTGGGTATTTGTTGCGTAGAGTCACCTTGTTTAAGGCTCTATAATCTATGCACAGATGCAACTTCACATCCTTCTTTTGCTGAAATAGTATGGGGGCTCCGTAAGGTGCCTTTGTTGGGCAGATGAATCCTGCCACCAACAACTCATCTAGTTGTTTCCTCAATTCGGCTAGCTTAGGGGGAGCCATCGGGTATGCGTTCTTCGCTGGGGGTTTAACCCTTGGGAGGAGTTCAATTTCGTGATCAATGCCTTAACGGGGTGGTAATGTTTATGGTAAGCTCTCTGGCATTATGTGAGCATAACTGTCTAGTACATCCTTGATTTTGCTTGGAATAATTTCCTCAGTGGTCATTTCTTCCATCAGGTGTATAGCCATAAATGTAAAATGTAGATTCCTCTCGTGCGAGGCCTCTTTTCAATTGTATGGCCGAGATCATTCTAAGATTACCTGGTTGCTTGATGCTTGCAAGTATTACTGTGGGGTTGTGGTCGGTGATCACCAAGCATTTCGGCAGTGGCATTGGGATAACTTTGTGTTCTAGGAGGAAGTTCATCTCAAGTACCATGTCGAAGTCGTCCATGCAAACCACGACAAGGTCCAACTCTTCGGTCCAGGCCCCTAATTTGAAGGGGATTCTTTTGGAGACTCCCACAATAGGCAAGACCTCGGAGTTGACAACTTTCATTTTTCCAGGGTCATTTTCTATGGTGAGTCCCAATCTTCCTGCTTCTTGGTCGGCAATGAAGTTGTGGGTCGCACCTGAGTCTATCAAGGTGCTCTTGCTTGGTCGGAAGTTTATTGTTGCATCTACGAACATGAGCCCTTTCTCTATTATCTCCTTTGGGTCGACCTTTCGTTGGAGGGCTGACAAGAATTTAAGCGCACCCAGTCGGGGTTGTCTTGATCTTCCTTCTTGTCTGGCGTAGTCTCGACTCCTATGTCGTTGCTTTCTTGAATGGACACTTGGAGTGCATTAAGAGAGGCTCGATGAGGACAGTAGGACAGTCTGTGGGGGCCTTTACACAACAGGCATTGTAAAGGTGTCGTCGGGTAGTTCTTTTGAGGGTAAGGTCTTTGAGATGTTCCTGCTTGGTTATTCTGAGGAGGTCTATCTATCCACCCACTTGGTCTGTCGTTACTTCCGTTTGGCCTATTGGAGCCTTCACTTTGATACCTGGCGGCTTATATGTTTTGCCTCAGTGTTTGGGGCCTGTGTTGTTCTTCTTTAGAAACTCGCTTTGTTCCCAAAGTCTAGGAGTCTCTTGGCGCTGGCAATTGCGGTAGCTAGATCTTGAACCTTTTTCTCGTGTATTTTTGTTTTGGCCCACGGTTGTAACCCATTTATAAAGAAAAATACCTTGTCTTTCTCTGACGTGCCCATGATATTTAGCATCAGGGTCGAGAATTGTCTGACATAGTCCTTTATGCTTCCAGTTTGCTTTAGGGTTATTAGTTTTCCATTGCTATATGTTCTACGTTTTCGGGGAAGAATTGGCCCCTCAACTCTCTCTTGAGGTTTTCCCACGAGTCGATGGTGCACAATCCATTCTCGATGTCTTGCACATTTGTACGCTACTAAAGTTTTGCATAATCTATGAGATGTTTGAGGCTACTATCACTTTTATGTTGTCAGTACAAGCCGTTGTGACTTTGAAGTACTGTTAGACATCAAAGATGAAGTTCTCCAACTCTTTGGTGTCCCTGTTCCCTTTGAAGGGTTTGGGATCTGGGAACTTCAGTTTGTTGGATCCTGTGAGTTTGCCCAGCCGTAACGTTCTCCACGGCTTCCATGGTCACTCCAATTCGGGTGTTCATGTCGGCCATCTTTTCTTGGATGACATCGATCGTTGTTCTGAATTCGTCAGCTAATCCATTAAACAAACTCATCATGGTATTTTGTAGCACGTCAAATTCTCCGCCACGTCCCTCCTTGTGCGCGATAGAGCTATTGGGGCTACCAGTAGGTCTTGAGCTGCTCGTAGGAGCAACTCTTTCTTCGAGCGAAGCCACTCGAAACATTAGTTCTGTGATTGGCAACCCATCCAGGCGGTTGCCAATTGCGTCGATTTCTACGACTTTTCTATTCAATTCCGTCACCCATGCTTCCAGGAAGCGGATGGTGTCAGGGACTTCTTTGAGGAACAACATTTCTTCCTCTATTAAAGTAAGCCGGTTGGCTTGTGATTTGGGTGTCGACTTTGTCGTCGACATGGTTTCGTTCTTTTCCATGTCATGGAGCTAACAAAACTCTGATACCACTTGTCACAATCGCACTTTTGATAGCAGCGGACTTGCGATTGTGCGGCACTTACTTTCCAACTATAAGTGAGCTAAACCAATTCGTTCTTACGTCGCCTACGGCCAAGCGACGTATGCTCGAGCCTCTGGCCTTGGTTTAAGAAGAAGGTTTTAGAAAATGAGGGCAGAGAGAGATTTTCGAAAGAGAGATTTTGAAAGAGACGTTATATATGCAAGCAAGAGAGTAACAACAACGGCTCATAGTATATAACTATTGGTAGGGAAAAGTTGACAATTAGTCATATTCCCCTATAGTACATTCTGAGGCATTTCATGTCTGGTAGGCTTATACATGATTTTTTCGAAACGTCATACTTCCTAGAAATACAAAAGTAAAACACTGAACATGAAAAGACATAAAGGGTTTGGCTTGTCATGGGCAACATGCCTTCGACAAACATGACCGTGACACACAGCAATCTGTCTTTGAAGGCTGACATTGACGCTAGCTTGAACTAGATTGAGATTAAAAAAACCAACCCAACCCAAAATCTTATCTAACACCAACTCAACCCTTATAGTTTAAATTGGATTTTCGAGTTGAAAGTACACGTCAACAAGAGATGGAGACAAGGACATAGAAAGACATTTTAGTACCGGTACTATAAATAAGAGTAAGAATTCATATTTTACCTAGTTGAGTTATACGTACATCGCTTATTTAAACATTAAATTTAAATTTATAGCGTGAAAGGATAAAAGAATAGGATTATTAGGTATGGTTTGGGTGCAGCTGGGAGATTGGGAAAGAGCAACAACATAACATGGAGAAGGAGCTCGGGGCTGAACGACGGGAATGACACGCTGGCAAAGGGAGGCCTAGTTGGAGGGTACTATGACTCCGGGGAAAACAGCAAGTCCAATTTTCCAATGGCTTATTCCATGACCATGCTGAGCTGGAGCCTAGTGGAGTACAGTCACAAGTACAAGGCCATCAACGAATACGACCACGTCAGAGACCTCATCAAATGGGGTACCGATTATCTGCTCCTCACCTTCAACTCCTCCTCCACCAAAATCACCCAAATTTACTCCCAGGTTTTCCCTTATTTATTTATTTATTTTTATTTTTTTAAAAAGAATAAAATAAATAAATAAAATGTTAAAGGTTGGGGGATCGCAAAATGGGTCCCAAATCCCGGACGACTCCACCTGCTGGCAGAAGCCGGAGCAAATGGGCTACAACCGACCCACCCAAACCACATTCCAAGGCCCAGATCTCGCCGGCGAGATGTCCGCCGCTCTCTCCGCCGCCTCTATCGTCTTCCGCGATGACGCCGCCTACTCCGCCAAGCTAATCAAAGGCGCCGAGACGCTCTTAGCCTTCGCTCGCGATTCCAGCCGCCGCGTCCGCTACAGCCGCGACAACGCCTTCCTAGCCGCGGCCTATGACTCCACCGGATACTACGACGAATACATGTGGGCGGCGGCATGGCTGTTCTGTGCGACAGGAAACTCGTCGTACATTTCTCTGGCGATTCTGCCGGGAATCGCGAAGAACGCAAATGCTTTCAACGTGACGGCGGTTTCGAGCGTGCCGAGCTGGGACAACAAGCTGCCGGCGGCGATGGTGTTGCTGACGAGAGTGAAGATGGTGCTGAATCCAGGGTATCCGTATGAGGATTTGTTGAGTGTGTACCAGACGTCGAATGCCCTAATTATGTGTTCTTATCTCAAGCAATTTGGTGTCCACAATTGGACTCGAGGTATTTCTCTTCTTATTCTTTTACTTTTGGATCTGATTTTGTGCATCTAATAACCTTAGAGATTAAATCATAATTAGGAGGAATGATTATTATGAACAAAGAACAGCAACAGGGACAGAATCTGCAATATGTGGCGAATGCTGCATTTTTAGCTTCTCTGTTTGCCGATTACTTGAACTCAACTGGCGTCCCTGGCTTCAATTGCGGCCCCAACTACATTCCTTCAGCCCTTCTTCGCACCTTCGCCACTTCCCAGATGGATTACATTCTTGGGACGAACCCCATGAACATGAGCTACATTGTGGGCTATGGCACCAAGTTCCCTAGACGAGTGCATCACCGTGGTGCATCCATTCCCAGCGACAACAAGTACTACTCCTGCAAGGGCGGGTTCAAGTGGCGCGACAACCCCGGTCCCAACCCCCACACCATCGTTGGTGCCATGGTTGGCGGTCCTGATCGATTCGACAAGTTTCACGACGTGCGTACTAATCCCAACTACACTGAGCCAACTCTGGCTGGTAATGCTGGCCTTGTTGCTGCTCTTGCTTCCCTTACTACCTCTGCTGGCTTTGGCATTGACAAGAACACCATCTTTTCTGGACGGGTCGTTGCTAGTGAGAACTTGGGCATGAAAACCATACCCTTTCTCTCATCTTTCTTTTTTGCTCCGGGGGTAATGTTCATTCTTTGTATCAGTTAAATGACTCTTATTTGATTCATAAAAATGGCTAAAAAAGGATCCAAAATCGTAAAAAAGGGGTCCAAAATACTAAATCGGGAGTGAGTTGTAACGGTGTACTATCATGATTTTGATACCTTCATGACTAGCCTTAAGGAAAACTCAAGCATCTATCTCTCTTTTCGCCTGACTTGGTGGCTTTATCGGATCTTAGGCGTGGTTCTCTTTCACCAATCGAACAATGATATCTAAGTTTGTTCAGCCACACACTGATTGTGCATGCATGTTCAATCGTCTGCAACTCTAGCCAACTTGCCTCGTCTCTAGGCCTAGAATCAACCCCATGTGTCAACTACATTGTCAAAACATCTAAAAACATTTATCAATATGGGTTTTTCAAGGCATGAACCCTCCCGTACACATGCCAAGTCCTTTACAAGATGTTGTACTAGATAGCAGGTGCATCAACATTCGACACATGGGTTCGGCAATGTCGGCACGGTTCATCATTGTCCTAAAAAATTCATTTTTAGAGGAAGATGCTCAAGACACTCATTTTTAGACTAGGGTCACTAAGTAGTATCGCCCGACCGCAATTACTAAGGTGTGCAGTTTTCTGGAGTTAGCAGGATACTGCTGGCCCTTCAGCACTTACATAGTTGATGAAGAAGAGTATTCCATTTATATGGAATGATGCATGTGAGGCAAGTTTCCAAGATCTAAAACAGAGGTTAGCGTCAGCCCCAATGCTTACAGTACCAAAGAGTTCAGAGGGGTATTTGATATATAGTGACACCTTTAAGAAGGGACCAAAATGTGTTTTGAAGCAACACGGTAAGGTTCTTGCGTATGCATCCCATTAGTTGAAAGACTATGAGAAGAACTACCCTACGCACGCTTAGAGTTGGTCGCAGTAGTGTTCGCACTTAAAATTTTACCGACCACAAGATCTTAAAGTATTTCTTCACGCAGGAAGAATTGACCATGAGACAACGAATATGGTTAGAGTTGGTGAAGGATTACGACAAACAGTTAGTACCACCTTGGAAAAGCAAACATGATCGCCGATGCTCTAAGTCGAAAAACAGTACACTCGTTGGCCCTCATCACTAGAGAGTCACGAGTGCAAGCAGGTTTCGAACGAGTCAACATAGGTGTAGTAACTGAAGGAGTAGTAGCTCAGATGGCTTGATTAACGGTACAACTCACACTTCGACAAAGGATTATTGAGTCTCAACAAGAGAACCCTAGCCTAGATAAGATTTTGAACGATGTGCATGTACGAGAAGCCATGTTGCATTATGATGAAGAGTTTTATGATACACAACCCCTAAATGATATTATTGATGATGAATGTATGAATGCTTATGCATGCATGTTACTTAGAGTAACATGTGAAGGATGTATGAGGCTGTGTTACATGAATGATTTAAGATGAAAAACTACAGGGACGTCATGCATATTGTTTGTTCATTTACATCGGGTTACTTCTCTTTTTATGATGATGAGTACGGACGCATACACGATGATGATGATGATCATCATCATGCCTTGCATGATATTCGAGGGTTTGTTGTACCTTCGAACGTCCGACTACAGCCAACTAGCTCGATTATGATAGGCCTAGGGGGTGTGCGAACCATCTGGTGGGCTCACGCTCGCACGTGTGAGCCGTTTGTAGGAAAGTACTACACATCCAATTTGTCTGGACTGGAGGCCACCTCTGATATGAACCACGACCAAGGAATTTCTATACCTCAAGGTTCAATTACAAGGACGAGAGCGAAGAAGCTACAACAAACCTTGTACACTTATATACAAGCTATGGTGAGCCCATCCAAAAAAATTCTAGAAGACATTGGAGACCTCCCTCATATGTTGTGGAAAGTTTGAGTTTCAAGAGAGGGAGACATTAAATGCACTTTAGATTGCATTTAATGAACTCAATTGAATTTATGGAACTAGTCCAAGGATTAATAAGTACATTTCATTGGTGGCACGGTTTAATTATAATTTAAATATTTGTTTGTCATATTTAAGCTAGTTTTTAATATAGGAGTTAAGGTTATATTGTAACTCACCTAGGTCACCAAATTCCACCGTTAACTAGCCATTTTAATAGGGAGATTATGAGTAATTCTCATTAACTAGCCAATTTAATTTGGGAGTTATGTGTGCTATATAAAGCCTTCTTTTCTTTGATGAGAGACTATCACATTTTGGAATTAAAAAGAATAGAATTTCTATTTTAGCTTTGTTGAGAACTTACATGCTAAAGTCATAAGTGATATTGATCATGATGGTGTTAATATAACACATGCGGAAGCAATTTGGATCTTAGGCACTTTTAGAACATCAATTATTGTAAATCACTAGCATGTTCATAAGTATTAAAACTTAATGAGTTTAAGTACTAACCTTTTGTAGTTCAAACTCCTTTTGCCTCACGAACCGGTTTCGAACCACCACTAGTGTCTTCTCCACTATCCTCCGGCCTTAGAACGGGATTGTGGAATCCGGTGAGTGACTAAAATTGGGAGGGATTTTGTATATGTGAAAGAGAGTGTTTGTGAGAAGTTTTTCTCAAGGCTTTTCATCAAGATGAAGAATCCCCTCCAAGTATCATGATCACTCTATTTAAAGAGTCAAGTTTGCATGTTCATGCAAACTTGAGATCACCAAATTTTGACACTTAAAATTCCACTCAAGAGTTTGGGATTATGTGGCAAGCATGCATGTTTGAGTTAACCAAATTTTGACACTCAAAATTCCACTCAAACTTGTGGGGTTTATTTGGCAAACATGCAAGTTTGGTTAAACCAAATTTTGACACCTCAAAATTCCACTAACATGGATTTTTCCATTAGATGAAAGTCAACATTTTGACTTTCTTCATTTTAATTCAACAATTAATTTGAATAATGAATTTCAACTTAAAGTAACATTAAATGATTAATTAAACTATTTAATTAATATTTAATATTAATTCAAATGCCAATCCCAATCAATTCCGACACATAATTGATTAAGATATTTAAATCTTATTTAAATATCTCACATTCTCTCTTTTCGTTTAATTCGTAAATAAAACAAAATTGCGGTTAAATATATCGTATATATGTAACGCATATTCCCTAATTTGAATTCGAACACTTCGAACTCACTCGTCACATTGTTCTATGGTTTAGTCCGATATGAGCTAGCAGAGGGACCTAATGGACCTATAGATCATGGGCTCCAACGATCCAAGATTAACCGATTAAACTCATTAACCTTGTTAACCAACATTCGTTAACTACTAGGACACTCCACTATAGCCTAGTAGTTGCACTCCCCTCACTATAGATATATTTCTGTCCATCTGATATAACCATGATTAGTAAGTCGATCCTTCACAGGTTGTTCGTAACTAGAGCTGGGTCAATTTACCGTTTTACCCCTGAAGTTACTTCTTGTTCCTTATGTCTCACTGATCCTCTAATGAACAATTGGTTTGTGGTTCAACTAGTAAACCAAATCCCTCTCAGGCCAATGAGAGGGTGGGGCCCCTTGTTCAAGACCTGGAGTCAGTGCTTAAGGGAACTACCTTTCTTCTATCCCTAAGTGGGTAGGAGTGAATTCCGTCTTGCACCCCACATCCCCAGCCATTCACCCAGTCTTACCCCTGAAATGGGAGGCCTGTTGAGTCGGCGAACTAGAGCCACTCTCACCCATGCAAATCTAAGGATAATTCCGAATAAACAGGAGTTCATGGTTAGCTCAGGATTAAAACCGAGTTACCTAGGTTATCGAATGAAAAGAAAATCAGTCTCAACAGTAAACGACTTTATAAAGTGAGAGTGGTTTTCTTCATGGTCCGATCTTATGCAATACTCATTGCATAGGACGCCCCCACTCACATGTCTCCACATGCACAATTTAGTGATCACATTGTTTATATCATATACAAAAGTGGGCCGCATCCATAGTGTCCCCAGAATAAGGTACTCAGCCTTATCCTTATACTATAGATCATTTTGACTATATACTTGAACTTGATCCACTCTTATGTCTCTACATATAGTTCAAGTAATCATTCTATAGCCAGAGTGTTCTTAGTTTATTGGATTTAGATTAATGATCGTAAAGTTCACTTTATTCAATAACAATTTTTACTGAATAAACATCAATAATAACTTTATTGAAAATAGAATATATCTTTGTTTACAAACTATGAGTTTTAGGACATAAAACCCAACAGATCAAACCTCTTGTGGAGTGATTCGAATCACTAGTTTAGAAACGAGTTTTCTCTACTCTTGATCTTGATCATCAAGGTAATCCATTCCATACTTTTCCTTGGGTTGATTCCATATCAATCTCTCTATGATGATTTTAAATGATAGGTTCCTAATCATGATTACATGTGTTTACATTCGCTGACTTCAACAGTGGGGTCGCTGACTAAATACTTTTTTAAAATACTTAAGTCGCTACTTCTATAAATAATGGAAATTTGTAATGGTTTCCTTTGTAAATACCTGCCCTTCATTTATAGTAGGGGTAGGGGTGTATATGGTCCGGGTTGGGTTGGGTTGAGAGATTTTTTTGACCCAACCCAAAAGTTTCTGTTGGTTGGATCGGTAATCCAACCCAACCTAAAAATTTTCACAACCCAACCCAACCCTCCTTTTTGGGTTGGATTGTCGAGTTGTCAATTTTTTTTTTTAAAGTTTTATTTATCCACAATTTATAATTATTCGGATGCAATATTAGATAAAATATATTAAAAGTTCACAAACAAACACAAATCAATCTATAATTATTCACATAAAAAATAAATAAAAACCAACCAGAGAAAATTGTAACATATTAATATAGTCCAATATTGTCTCAAATTCAGGCGTAGGTGTCTTTAGAGAGGCAAAGGTACCATTCTGACAAATTTATTAATACATAAATTATCTTAATATAATTTATATATTTTTATTTGGTTCGGGTCAACCCGAAGGTTTTATCCACGAACTCGAAACCAACCGATTCAGTTCGAGTTCAGAAAATGATCCTAACCCTACCCGAAATGTTAATCCAACCCAACCCAACCCAACCTCTAGAGTTGGGTTGGTTCGGGTTGTCAGGTTGAATGCTTAAAATGAGTGATCCCTTTTAGTTAATGTTGATTTCATCTCTTTAGATGACCCAAGTGAGATT